ATATATATATAATATATCCTAAATTTTATAATATCTTTGCAATATTGCTGGAACATTTCCACGAAATATTGATATCGTATGTCTCTGAAATGTCTCTGCAATTGCATATTACATTGCAACTCGCAATATTGTAACATTTCTAAAATGTCACTGGAAACTTCAATGCTGTATGGGTCCCTTATTCTCTTATGTTTATATTGCCCGCCATGTGACAATATGGCTGACATAATTCAAAATTAGTTGAAGTCAACTTCTAGACGGCGGTAAAATATTGATGCAAATAGAGATACTACAATCAGAGACTGACCATGATTCTGATCCGCCAATTAGAGACTTTAATCAGCCATGTTTTGGCTAAATCTACAAGAAGAAAGAAATGTACACCATCTCACTCTAATCAATAGCGATATTTTTTGCGTGTGCATTTATTTAAGTGTATTGTGCATGTGTATCAAACATGTAGAAAGCGTGATAATATATTATTAAATAATAGAGATACTAAAATTGCAAAATATAGTCATAAATTAATTGTGATAAATCAATATAAAAAATGAAATATTCATTGTTTACTTTAATTTTATTTTATATTGTAATAAAGTTTGTTTATAATAATAATAATAAATATGTATAATAATCCTTTCTAAAGAAAGGTATGACATCGATACTTGCATCTCTCGAAATTTGCTCGAAGTTTATTGTTGACGCTTTTTCGTGATAGGTTCTCTCGCTGCGCTAACTTTGTGAATAGTTATCATTATATTGATTTCACGGAGGATCGTTTTTAGAATTGTGTATTAAAAAGTTAAAAATATTATAGTGTAACAGTAGTATAATAACATTATATTAATTTTTGCTTGTGTTAAAAAAGATAAATAGTGAAAAAAAAGAAATACATTTAAAATCGTTAAAATTAAAGCAAATACATTAATAAATTGGTAATAAATGTAAAATAAAGTTTTAAAATATACACATTTTATTACTTTTAAAAACGCTTATGTTTTTAAATTATAATATTACAATTTAAGATTAATGTTATTAATGTATTTGAAAATAAGTGGGAATAGCCAAAAGATGGCGGACCAATCAAAAGTTGCTTTTTCGTGGCCAGTCTCTGATTATAGTGTTTCTAGGTGCAAATTTTTCCATAAGAGTTTGATAATCCTGAAATCTATATTCATAATATAACTTGTGATCAAAAGTTCTTGAGTTCAGTGTTAATGCATGTGAATTGTTGGGTTATTTTACACGTGACTTTAATATCAATTATGATAATTGATGGATATTAATGTATAACATAACAAGCAGAGCAAAAAAATGATTTTGGAAGATTATAAAGAAATTGTTGGATCTTGTGCTATGTATACTACCATGGCACAAATGTTATCAGGAACGTAAGCATATTAATAAATATTTTTTCACACACACACACACACACACACACTACGCGCGCGCGCAGACAGACGGAGATTCGTTGAGATTTATACATGTACTTAATGAATTTTTTTTTGTTTTTCAAAAATTGTCTTCTCAAGTCATTTTTCTCAAAAACGGTCTTATATGAGAAATTTTATTTTTCACTTTTGATTAATTTTTTTATAAGAAATTATCTTATTCTCTGTTGTATATATCACGATTGCTGGAATATCCTGTGTGTATTGTGTATGCATGTATCTTTAAATGACATTCAAATGTTTCTTATATGATATATTTTAAAAAAAGATAAAAGTTAAAGAATTTCGTGAGGACCACACATAATTACGATTCATTCGCAGATAACGCAATTGTGGAGATTTTCTATGGTCGCCATTTTATAAAATAAAATCATATTTTTTACGTAATATGATCTTTCTAGTTATTCTGGATAAAGAAGTTAAAATACAAATGTTAAAAAATCTTTAGTTTATGATATATTTTATATTTTATTTTCGCGTATTCTGACATAAAATATAAAATATTTTGTAAACTATTCTTTGATACTTGTATTCTCTGTATCTTAATACTCTATGCATATTTTTAAAATAATAAAATGTGAGAAATTATAAATCTCATAAAATAATAGGCATTAAAAGAAATGTTGCCTATCATAATATTTATTTATTTGTTGTAACGAACAATTTTTCCCTTTAGTATTTTCTTATAAAAAACACAATAAAAAGTTTAAAAACAAAAATGTTCTAAATGATTGACTTACAGAAAATACTTTGTGTATGTTTTTAGTACTATAATAAAAATTCATTTTCTTTAAAACTAAGAAAATTTAATATAGCGCTTCTGAATAGAATATAAAATATTTATCAAATTTTAGTTTCGTGTAAATATTTATTGATCTCTATACATATTAAGAAATATTTAAAAAGTTATTGAAAAATTTTAAACTTATAGTCTTTATATTGTCTTTATATTATACAAGGTGTCCTCTAGATTCTCCGTACAAATTTTGACAATGTGTTTTATAAAGCAAAATAAGAAAAAAGTGTTATATGAACATAAGTCATTAAATGCTTTATTTAGAGGTTAAAGTACGGCAAAAGTATAAAATTTGCAAGAAACAATTTTTCACTTAAATTTGCATTTCAAAATATGTCGATAATTGTATTATTTCATTTCTGACGTGCTTGTGTTCGATAAATTTAGTATTTATTATTTGAAACGGTACGGCAAGATTAAGTGATACACAAGGTAATAATAATATGTTATCCGATGATGGTTGAACGAACATTATCCCGAAAGATGAATTGGTCGAGAAAGACCGATATTTTGGCCTTCAAGATCAGCAGATTTAATGTCTTTAGATTTCTATCTGTGGGGAACAATGAAAAACAAAATTTATCAAACGCAAATTGCATCAAGAGACTAATTAATACAATCCTCGACGTAGCTGAAGAGATTAAACAAAATCAGCATGAAATTTCTATAACAATAAATTCAGTACTACGTCGATGCCAAGTTTGCATAGAAAGAAGACATTTTGAAATGCAAATTTAAGTGAAGAATTATTTCTTGTAAATTTTTGTTGTAATTTCTAAATAAAACATTTAATGACTTATGTAACATTTTTTTTTTCTTATTTCATCTTATAGAATATATAAAATTTGTATGGAAAATCTAAGGACATCCTGTTATATTGAATTTTCTCGATAACATATAATAATAGATTGATATGCTGTATTGGTACACTGCAATAATAGTTTTATCATATAGTGGATAAATTAATTTATTTGTTTAAGTT